AAATCATCCCAAAGAAAAAGAAGTGTGAAAAAAGAAAAAGAAAACAGCAAGAAGGCAAAGTGGTTGTTGGAGGAGGCCTTAAAAATAGCTGAGGAAAAAAGAGAAGTGAAAAGTAAGGGAGAAGGGGAAAGATATACCCAACTGAATGCAGAGTTCCAGAGAATAGCAAAGAGAGATAAGAAGGCCTTCTTCAATGAACGATGCAAAGAAATAGAGGAAAACAATAGAATGGGAAAAACTAGAGATCTTTTCAAGAAAATTGGAGATACCAATGGAATAGTTCATGCAAAGATGGGCACGATAAAGAATAGAAACAGTAAGGACCTAACAGAAGCAGAAGAGATTAAGAAGAAATGGCAAGAAGAATACAGAAGAATACACAGAAGAACTATACAAAAAGGTCTTAATAACCCGGATAACCACGATGGTGTGGTCACTTACCTAGAGCCAGACATCCTGGAATGTGAAGTAAAGTGGGCCTTAGGAAGCATTATGACAAACAAAACTAGTGGAGGTGATGAAATTCTAGCTGAGCTATTTAAAAAATCCTTAAAAATGATGCTGTTAAAGTGCTGCACTCAGTATGTCAGCAAATTTGGAAAACTCATCAGTGGCCACAGGCATGGTAAAGATCTGTTTTCATTCCAATCCCAAAGAAAGGCAATGACAAAGAATGTTCAAATTACTATACAATACACTCATTTTGCATGCTATTTAAAGTGAAAAAGTGAAAATCACTCAGTCGTGTCTGACTCTTCAATCTAGGAAAAGACCCAGGAATTCTCCAGGCCAGAATACTGGAGTGGGTAGCCTATCCCTTCTCCAGCAGATCTTTCTGACCCAGGAACCAAACCCAGGGCTCCTGCATTGCAGGCAGATTCTTTACCAACTGAGCCACCAGGGAAGCCCCCATGCTAGTTAAGGTTATGCTCAGACTCCAAGCTAGGCTTCAGCAGTGCGTGAACCAGGATCTTCAGATGTATAAGCTGAGTTTAGAAAAGGCAGAGGGATGGTGGGATGATTTGAGAGAATAGCACTGAAACATGTATATTATCATATGTGGAACAGATCGCCAGTCCAGGTTCGATGCATGGGACAGGGTGCTCAGGGCTGGTGCACTGGGATGACCCAGAAGGATGGGATGGGGAGGGAGGTGGGAGGGGGGTTCAGGGTGGGAACACATGTAAATCCATGGCTGATTCATGTCAATGTATGGCAAAAGCCACTACAATATTGTAAAATAATTAGCCTCCAATTAAAATAAATAAATAAATAAATAAAAAGAAAAGGCAGAGGAACTAGAGATCAAATTGCCAACATTCACTGGATCATAGAGAAAGCAAAGGCATTCCAGAAAAACATCTATTTCTGCTTCATTGACTACATGAAAATCTTTCACTGTGTGGATCACAGCAAACTGGAAAATTCTTAAAGAGTAGGGATTACCAGACCACTTTACTTGTCTCTTGAGAGACCTGTGTGCAGGTCAAGAAGCAACAGAACTGGAAACGGAGTAACTGACTGGTTCAAAACTGGGAAAGGAATACAACACGGCTGTGTATTGTCACCCTTATTTAACTTATATGCAAAATGCTAGGCTGGATGAATCACAAGCTAGAATCAAGACTGCAGACGGGACATATGTATACCTATGACTGATTCATGTTGATGTTTGACAGAAAACAACAAAATTCTGTAGAGCAATTATCCTTCAATTAAAAATAAATTAATTTTAAAAATTAAAAAAAAAAAGAAAAGACCAAGGTGTGAAAAAGACTTTACCTGCCACGTTGAGGAATATGAACTCGAGCCTCAGCACAGTGCAGAGTACCATGACCACACTGGGTGATTTTAGAATTAAAAGAAAAAAAAGAAAAGAAAAGATTGCAGGGAGAAACATCAGCAACCTCAGATATGCATATGATACCACTCTAATGGCAGAAAGCAAAGAGGAACTAAAGAGCCTCTTGATGAAGGTGAAAGAGAAGACTGAAAAGACTGGCTTGAAACTTAACATTCGAAAAGCTAAGATCAGGGTATCCGGTCCCATCACTTCATGGCAAACAGGAGGGGAAAAAGTGGAAGCAGTGACAGATTTTATTTTCTTGAACTTCAAAATCACTGCAGATGATGACTAGAGTGAAATTAAACAATCTGTTTTCTCTTTGAAAGGAAAGCTATGACAAACCTAGACAGGGTATTAAAAAGCAGAGACATTACTTTGCTGACAAAGGTCCATATAGTCAATGCTGTGGTGTTTCCAGTAGACGTGTACAAATGTGAGAGTTGGACCATAAAGAAGGCTGAACACAGAAGAATTGATGCTTTCGAATTGTGGTACTGGAGAAGACTCTTGAGAGTCCTTTGGACTGCAAGATCAAACCAGTCAATCCTAAAGAAAAGCAACCCTAAATATTCATTGGAAGGACTGTTGCTGAAGCTGAAGCTCCAATACTTTAGCCACCACCTGATGCGAAAAGCTGACTCATTGGAAAAGACCCTGATGCTGGGAAAGACTGAAGGCAAAGCAGAAGGGGGTGACAGAGGATGACATAGTTAGACAGCATCACAAATTCAATGGACACGAATTTGAGCGAACTCCACAAGAGAATAACGACAGGGAAGCCTAGCGTTTATGCAGTCCATGGGATCAGAAAGAGTTGGACATGACTTAGCCACGAACAAGAACAGCAAAATTTTCTTGGGAGGCAAGTCTCCTGTTGAGTTGTGTGTCCTAGTTGGTACATCTTCAGTTTGAAGAAGATGAATGACTCTCCCTGCAGTTCAGCTGCTTATGAAAGTGTGCAGTCTGGCCTCAATTGGCCTTGCAGAGTGGCTCTTCTGAGGTTATCAGTGTGTGTAATTTCCCTTTTTTGGCCATTCCTTGTTCATGTATGGATGTGAGAGTTGGACCATAAAGAAAGCTGAGTACCGACGAATTGATACTTTTGAACTGTGGCGTTAGAGAAGACTCTTGAGAGTCCCTTGGATTGCAATCAATCCTAAAGGAAATCAATCCTGAATATTCATTGGAAGGACTGATGCTGAAGCTGAAGCTCTAATACTGTGGCTACCTGATGCGAAGAACTGACTCATTGGAAAAGACCCTAATGCTGGGAAAGATTGAAGGCAGGAGGAGAAGGGGATGACAAAGGATGAGATGATTGGATGGCATCACCAACTCGAGTGGCATGAGTTTGAGCATGCTCCAGGAGTTGGTGATGGACAGGGAAGCCTGGCATGTTGCAATCCATGGGGTCACAAAGAGTTGGACATGATTGATCGACTGAACTGAACTGTTTATTAAAGATGGAGTTCTTTGAAAGCTGTGTGCTGCTTGGCCTTTTCCAAACAGTTGTTTAGGCTTGGTATTCTGTTTTGTCCTCAGATTAAGCTAGGCCAACTTTGAGCTATTGAGTTGGCCAAAAAGGTCATTTGGGTTTTCCATAAGATGTTATGGGAAATCCCAAATGACCTTTTTGGCCAACCCAATACATCCCTAGACCACCTTATTTTAATTTAGCCACTCTACACACACACACACATACTTAGCACTCATTGACAAAGCTATATGAAACAAGCAATTATATGACACTCCCTATCATCATTTTATACCAATATCTTTGAGGACCAAGAGGAAACTTCCCTAAAATTTTAGTATTAAGAAGATCTGAGAGTCTCCTGGTTTATTTTATGGACACTATAAACCATTATAACAGTGCTTTGTGTTTAGTTTTATCTGTGAGAAATCTTGGGGATATATCTGTAATCATCTCCCAGCAAGCATATAAAACCTTAGGGCATGCACTTTTTAGTATTTCTATCCTGGCTGCTTTTTATTGTTTTTTCCTATGCTTATTTCTCCTTTGGCCTACAAGATTTTAAAAAAGATTCTTTCCTTTTTAAAATCTTGTACTTTGTAAAACTGCTTCAACTTTGTTTTAGAATGAGGCAAGATAAAGAGAAATTAAGTACAATATTCATGATTTACCATTTGTTACAGACATATTGCCAATTTGTTTCTAGATTTCATTTTAAATTTCCTGTCCTTTATGAAATCAGATCTTTTACTGCTTTGTGATTGTCATGGAGCGAATCATTGCTGTGAATTTGAAGATCCCTTGGCTGCCATATTTTCACCCCATAGTTAACATGACTGATTCAGTATAAATCTTTTTTTAAAAATTGGAGTATAGTTGCTTTAAAAACTATGTCAGTTTTTGCTATACAGCAAAGTGCATTTCAGCCATACGTATACATATATCCCCCCTTTTTTGGATTTCCTTCCCTAAGCACTGGGTAGAGTTTCCTGTGCTATGCAGTAGGTTCTCATTAATTATCTATTTATACTTAGCAGTATATGTATGTCAATCGCAACCTCCCAATCCATCCCACCACCCCACCACCTCCCCCTTTGGTATCCATACTTTTGTTCTTTATGTCTGTGTCTCTATTTCTGCTTTGCAAAGAAGGCCATCCATACCATTTTTTAGATTCCACATCTATGTGTTAATATATGACATTTTTCTCTTTCTGACTTAGTTCACTCTGTATGGCCGTCTCTAGGTCCATCTACCTCTCTGCATATGCCACTATTTTGTTCCTTTTTATGGCTGTTTAATATTCTATTGTATTTGCAGCATAAATCTAAGAGCTTAGAGGAAGCAGAATTAATAACCCTCTTAATTCTTCAAGGGTCCCATTTTTTTGGTTTACTAAATTTCAGTTTCAAGTACCACATTTAAACAGGAAGGCAGTTATATGTCAGCATAAAAATGGTTGGCCCATAAGGCCTGGGAAATGCCTAGCACTTACCTGGTTCTTCACAAGACAGGCATTCAGCAAGAGTTTGGTGACTTAAATTTATTGCAGTTTTTGTGTTTGTGTCTAGAAGCATTTGCCTGCCCTGGTGGTCTGGGACTGGGTTGGGGAATGCAGTCTGCTACTGTCTGCAATGACTTGACATCAGTGACATTTTCTGCTTTACTTTTCTCTTTCAGAATATGATCGATTGGGCTTCCTCCTGAAGTTGGACTCTAAACTGTGAGTAGAATGAGCCAGTTCCTTGACTTTGTGATAGAGATGGACTGTGACAGCTAGAGGCTGGCCTCAGGGGGCCAGCTCGCATCACCCCTGGGGCCTCTGTCCTCCATCTGTCAGCTGAAGCTTAGAGTGTGTTACAGCCTGTGGGTGCAAATACAAGGCCTTAGGTTTGGCTGGCACAGGGAGCTCATTGCAGAAGGAGCCATGCACCTCCCCCCGACACACCCCACTGGAGTTTGAAGGACACGGAGGAAAGGTTTCAGCTGCAGAGTGGAGGGTAACTGAACCACGGCAGGAGACAGTGCAAAGGTTTCAAAGATGCTTCACAGCCAGGCATGCGAAGCCTTCTATGCTCAGGTTTCCTCCCGGCTTTAACTCCTGTCTCTCTCCAGCAGGTAGATCCTCCTTTTCCCTCTATCCTGGTATATGTTTGTTATCCATGTCTGAAACACACTTTCCTTGTTTGTCCACTAGGAAAACTTAAGAACAACCTCCTTCCTATACAGAATTAATTATCTCTTCCTCCACTTCCTGTGAATTTTATACCTCTGACACCCATTATCTCATTATACTATAATTAAGTGTAATAGTTATTCATTTATTAAGAGTACAGGCTCAGAGCCAGGCCATGCTTGGTTCAAATCCCAGATTGCCATTTACTTTCTTTGTGATTTAGGGCAGACCACTTAACCACTCTGAGCCTCAGTTTCACCTGTAACATGAGGACATCAGTATAAGTACCTCACAGGGTTGTAAGAACTGTACAGAAATGGTGAATTTACAGGGATTTTCAAATAAGTATCTCATTCTTTCAGAATCCTTCCCTGTTCTGGCCCTCTTGGCCACCTGACCACTGGAGCAGCGCCGGCGTATGTTTGCTAGGTGCTAAGTCAGCACTGAACACACAGCCGCATGGACGGCTGCAAGGATGGCTGCATGGCTGCATGATGACAGGCGCCTGTGTGCCTCCCTCATTAGACTGGGCTGCCTGGAGGCTGGGCTTTATCCGTCTGCTCATGCCCTGTCCAGGACCCCTCACACGGCCGGTGTGCAGTAAAGTGTTGCAGAGCTGCCTGTGGCTCCTTTCTGTGGTTAGCCATCTTCATACACCCTTGCCCCTGTCCTGTACCAGACAGATACGAAAGATCAGAATTGTGTCTCCTTTCTTTCCTCTGCTGCTTGAGGCCTGGACCACAGCTGCTTCGATGGTGATGGCTGCACCCACATGCAAGACACCAGCCCAGGATTATTTGGCTTTCCCAGTGAATGGTCTGGCATGTAGCCCCTTTTCCTGGCATCTGGCCTCTTGGCTCTGGTGCCTGACACCATGAGTTCAGGTGCTGCAGTTCTCCCAGCTTTTATACATCATGGAGGCAGTCACAAGGGAAGAATGGTCTCTTCTGTCTGCCAGGCTAGTGTAGAGTTGTCAGCCGCATGTTAATATCCAGGGAATGGGGCTTGATAATGCTAGGGACCCACAGGCTTCACCCTTAGAAAATCCTTAATTTAGTGCTCTGGGCAAAAAACAAATCAAGCATAAGCTATAAGCAAATGAAATGCCACCAGAACGAAAGAGATGTAGTAATTTACCAAGTCAAATCACACTGATGAACAAAAGACGTGGTATCCAGGACATGTTAACTATAGTATTTAAGCTGTCTTCAGCTGTGTGAGAAGGGGGAGCAGGAGGACACGTGCCCTGCTGTTCTGACAGTTGGGTGGTACGTGGCAGGCTCCGGTACAGCTTTCTTTTGTGTAATAGGCCGGTTCTATAAACCATTTGAGTCAACTTGGTCTTTAGCCCGAGGAATTGGCTTGGCCTCATTAGATTTACCTCGGAGTTTAAGGTATAAGCTCCAGCTTTCCTGCCTCTTACTGAAAAGGCTTTTCTAATCCAATGTTATCTTCAGAACAAAACACAGACACATGGGAAAGGTTTATATCTTTTCCGGGGAGAAGTTTCCAAGTTAAGGATTCTGGTTTTTGGAGGTAATTCCTTAGAAATACCCAGATCTCCCCTTATGAAGTCTTTCTCTGCTGTGTTGTGTTCTATTTCTGATGTATAGGAAGGGACCTGGGCTTGGATCAGAACTGGATTTGAATTCCACCCCTTCTACTTAGGATTATATAACCTTAGATAATTCATTTTAGCTCTATGAATCAATTTTCCCTTATGAAAAACATGAATAATGATACCCATTTCCTCAGGTTTTTATAAAGAATAAAAAAAAAAGAGTTCTATGAGTAAATATGCAAATGTAGGAATTTCTTATTTATCTTGATTGGATTCATTTAACTTCTATACTATAAGAATTCATGTGTTCTGGAAATTTTTCAGCCATTATCTTTAAATATTGCCTCTGCCCCACTCTTTCTCTCTCTACTCCTCTTCTGAAACTCTGATTAAGTGTTAGGCCTTCCCATTCTCACCTGCAGGTCTACTAACTTCTACATTTTCCATCCTTTGATCCTTTCTGTATTGAACTGGAACCCCAAAGGATTCAACATAAGGATAAACTAGAACTAAAACTGTACCCCTAAGCCAGGACTGCAGGAAAGGCTGCCAGAGCTCTAAGTGGATTAGGGCAATAATTCAATAAAGAGGAAACAGTTGATATTCACAGCCTGGGCTCTCATCACTCAGTTGGTCCACAGAACCTCAAGCTGTGAACTTTATCTAAGGTACTCCAGACTGGCCATGCCTCCAAGCTTCTGGCGGAAGCAAATTAAATCCCTCTCTAGAGGAAGACATGAATTTCTCATGGATAACTTTCCAAGGAAATGAACGGCTCACAGGGAAAGATAACTAAGCACACAAGCAAAAAAGACTTCTTTAGAGAGAACCGTGAACAGCAACAGACGCCAGAGGGGACCAGCAGAGACTTCCGAAAATGGAGTTATCAGACACAGTTTATAAAGTAATTAGATGCTCTGTATTTAAGGAAATAAAGATAAGATTGAACTGTACATGTAATAGGGGCTTCCCATGTGATGGTGCAATGGTAAAGAATCTGCCTGCCAATGCCAGAGACACAAGACAGCAGGTTCGATCCCTAGGTCGGGATGATCCCTTGGAGAGGAAATGGCAACCTGCTCCAGTATTCTTGCTTGGAAAAATTTTATGGACGGAGGAGCCTGGCAGGCTACAGTCCATGGGGTCGGAAAGATTTGGACATGGCTGAGCAGCTGAGCGCAAGCATTCATACATGTAATAGAGAACTATGAAAAGCAAAGTATTAGATTAGAAAGACAGAACTGAAAAATACAGTGACCAAAATTAAAACCTCAGTAGAGGTATTTAGCAGCAGATTAGATACAAGTAAAGACAGGATTAGTGAGCTGGAAGCCCAAGTCAGAGGAAGTGACCTATAACAAGATTAGCCAGCTCTTTTTGTAGAGTCAGATGGTCAGTATCTCTGAGTTTTGGGAGTTTTGCTGCCTCTGTCACAACTCTGTCTCTGCTGATGCAATGTGGAAGGCATAGATAGCATATACAGATGAGTATGGCTGTAGCTGTATTCCAACAAAACTTTTTATTTATCGACACTGAAATTTTAATTTAATGTAATTTTTATGTCATTAAGTATTATTCTTCTAATTTTTAAAGCAACCACTGAACATGTAAAAGACACTCCTGTCTCACAGAAACATAGTGGGTCAGATCTGACTCACAAATCATCCATGCTGGCCCTTCACTGAGAATGCAGCACAGATGTACCTGCATGGGAATTGCCTCTCCACCCCAGGTGTTTTTTATTCTTGAAATATTATTGCAGTTGACCCTTGAACTGCAGTGCATCCACTTATATATGGATTTTTTTCAACAGTACACAATCTGTGATTGGATGAATTGGAGCACATAGAATCATGGATATGGAGGAACCACATATGTGGTTATATGCAGATTTATATATGCAGATTTTTGACTGTGTGGAGGGTCAGCACCCCTAATCACCTTGTTGTTCGAGGGTAAGATGTTTATACAAATACACTTAAAATATCTCTATATCAAATGATACATCAAAAACCTGGAAATAAGTATCTTGGATTTTTTTTTGGTCTTCATTATATTCTTTTAATTATATCTTTGTGTAATAAGTGGTTTCTGTTTCCTTTGAGAATTCCCTGCTGCTTGTGCCTTTATGACAAAATCACTTGTCAGGACTATAAAATTATTCAGAATACTTATAGAGCTGTACCAGATCTTTTCCTTTAACAGCAAGCTGTATTTTTCAGGAGGGCAGTATTTTTTGGAGGTTAAAAATGTGGACTGTGGAATCAGATGTGGATTTTTAAAGCCCCATTCCACATCTTACTAGCTGTAAACTTGAGTGAGTTATTTAACTGCTAGCCTGTTTCCTGCTATAAAGTGGGGATAAAAGTAATCACGCAAGGTTGAGATTCAACCTATCCTGTACCCGTATCAGTGTCTGGTAACCTGGGAAGGATATAACCCCAAAATGAGGCCTGAACCTCAGCTTACCTCCCGCTTTACACCCCAGACTTCCATTTCTTCACTTGTTCACTTAACAAATATTTCTTGAGTACTGACTGTATCATATCGGGATGAAACTGAAAATTCTAAGCCACATGAACAACCTTACAGGCTTGGTTGGAAAGGATGTGTTGTGAGCTGAAGTTTTAAGTGAAGCGGGAGGGGATAAATGAAAACAGCAGGGGAGGGAAGGGAGTAGTACTTCTGGATAGTATGAGCAGTGAACAGGTTTGCATTTTGGTTTATGTTTATTTATTTATTTGGCTGTGCTGGGTCTTTGTTGAGATATGTGGGATCTAGTTCCTGGCCAGGGATCAAACTTGGGCCTCTTGCCTTGGGAGCATGGCGTCTTAGCCACTGGACCACCAGGGAAGTCCCTGTTTTGTTTTTTGTTTTTTTAAGGAGGATGACATACTGGTGGCTCAGAAGCATAAATGGAGTACAAAGAGGATATGAGGGATCTTCAGATGCATAGGGTATAGAAGAAAGAGCTGCCTCCATCACA